ATCCACAAAAAAAAAAAAAAAAAAATCTAAAAAATATATATGTTATGCAAACGAATAAACTAAAAAACATTTGCCTCAACGTTATATCCAAATTTTTTACCAAATTTGAAATAAAAATCAAATACTAAAAATAAATAATAATGATAAAATTAGAAAAAATAAAACGAGAATTAAATTATTCAGTGGGCGAGAACATATTTGAGACCGCCATCTTTGGTGATTTTTTTTTTTTTTTTGGCTGTCACAAATGCTATGAAAATTTATATATGTGTATCTTACATAATAGAGAATCTATGAATAAATTTTGAAAAAATAATAAATTGTTGTATGGCGCGAAATAAAGAAAAAACAAAAAGTGAAAAGAGAGGATACATATTTGTGAGTGGGCAAGCAAGTTTTGACACCACCACCTTTGAGGGTTTTTCATTTTTGTTTGGCTGAACAGAATGACTTCAAAATTAAGCCGGAGATACCTTACATCACAAGAACTCACAAAAAAAATTCAGAAAAAGATAATAATATTTAGGTGTCAAAATAATGTTTTGCGGGGTCCGAACCCCTTCAAGTTCGGCCCCGTACGGGGACCCGAACGCCCGAACGTTCGGGGGTCGGCTTAGGGGCCTTCGTAAGCGAAAAGAGAAAAAAAACAAATTAGTGAGTGGGAAAGCAAGTTTTGACACCACTATCTTTGACGATTTTTCATTTTTTTTTGCCTAAGCAGAATGGCTTCTAAATTTAGAGGGAGGTACCTTACATCCCAAAGAACTCACAAAAACAAATTTAGAAACAAATAACAATATTTAGGTGCCAAAATAAGTTTTTGCGGGGTCCGAACCCCTTCAGGTTCGGGTCCCGTACGGGGACCCGAACGCCCGAACGTTCGGGGATCAGCTTCGGGGTCTCCATACGTTCGGTCTGGCAACCCTGTATATATATATATATATATATATATGTTAGGTAGCAAATCCAAATATCTGGCAGACCAATTTCATCCGGAATTTTCAATCCGGATGAAATTTCCGGATTAATTCTGGATATGAAAAATCCGGCTGTACGCACAAAAATAATTTTATCGAAAAATAAAAAAATTCAAAAAACTCGGGAAAAAAAATACATTTTTCATATCAATGATACGAATAATTTTTGGCTTGAGGTCATCTTTGATATCTCAACAGATAAAAAGAAAAAATAAAATAAAAAACAGAATCATATTTAGATAAAAAGTTATAAAACGAATTAAACATCCCCCCTCTAAATCCTTTTATTCCTTATCTTATCCCTTTTGAACCCTTCCATGACCTATCAAGCTTTTTATGAAACAGAAACGTAGTTCTATTGTATTTTGCATGCGCAATATCACTTTTTTTGTTTTTTTTTACTTTTCTTTGCCCATTTTTTTAATCATCCGAATTTTCGGATAATCATAACCAGTGATAATCCGACCAGATAATCCGACTAGATTATCTAGCTCGATAAGCCATGCTACCTAGTATATATATATATATATACACTAGGTTACCAGCCGGGCCGCCCGGGTCACCTTGTGTTGTCCGTGAGGACGATCCTTGCCAAAAAAAAAAAAAAAAAAAACAATCCTAATAAATCCGGAAAAACACTATGTTATGCAGAAAAATAAACAAAATAACTTTTGCCTCAGGGTCATATCAAAATTCTTTACCAATTTAAAAATAGAAATAAAAATTAAAAAATATATATATATATATCGTCACAAATATTTTAGTCATTTTTGGCCCGACCGGGCAACTGGTCCCGGGCCACTCTGGTAGCCTAGGATATATATATATATATACAGGGTAACTGACATTCGGGATGGGACAAACGCCCGAACCCGAACGCCCGAACGTATGGGACCCCTT